GAGGATAAATGAAATTCTAACTTTTAGAGAGTATTTGTGAGTTACCTAGAAAGATTAGGGTAGATGACTTGGTCATTTGAAAATATGATACTTGGTTTACATCCATAAGCTGAATTCTCAAAGACAAGATATGCAAGTTCACAAGGAAGATCTCATATGGCAGTGATGGCGAACCATTTGAGCTCGGTGTGTCAGCATTTTGAAAAACCCTAACTTAACTCTGGTGCAGTGTCACATATAAAAAATTTTTGATATTTGCAACCATAGTAAAACAAAGATTTATATTTTTGATATTTATTTTATATATTTAAATGCCATTTAACAAAGAAAAATCAACCAAAAAAATGAGCTCGCGTGTCACCTCTGACACGCGTGTCATAGGTTCGCCATCACTGCCATATGGTGTTATATATGAACACTGGGGAATTCTCTATCTTGAACTTCAGAGAATGGAAGACTATTTAGGATCTATGTAAATAGATCCTTAGCATAAATCTATCATATAATTTCTACAATTAAAATAGTTATTTGATTAAAATCCCAACAATGCTTTGTCCTTTCATAGCACAGGAAACTAGTGTCATGGTGTCCCTGTGCTCTCTCAGTCTGGGTGTATGGACATAGGATGGAATCAGGACAAAATGCCATCTGTTTCTCTTACAACTTCCCAGGAGCAACACTATCTGACTTGGCACAAGCAAAGCCATTGGCATAAGCAAAGCACAGGTCTTGTTAAATTTATCTTTAATCGCCTTGGAGCTAAGGAGAGGGAACTGCTACTTCACCATGTCCTATGAAGAGAAAATACTTCAGAATAAACCTTTTTCTTAAATAGTTTCTGATGACATCAAATCAAGCCTAGAAGAAACTTTAGACAATAAATACAATACAATTATAACTGCTTCTTGCATCATGGACAATAAAACCTTCAACTGTGGTAGTTAATGGGAATAATTCTTATCCACCATACAATAAGAAAAAGTTCCTATTTGCTGATTTTTAAATTGAGTTCATCTCTATTTTTATTTTTCAAATAAAGTTTTAGCAGATTAGAAATGTCCTTTAAAGCAGTAAGTCTAATATGTGTGTGTATGTATGTGTATATGAAAGAATGAATGTTTGTTATCTTTAAAGAAAAAATGGTGAATTATTTTATCTGTTTTTTAATTCTAGGTACATAAAGGCAAACACTGTCTAGTGATTTCCTCCCTTTTACTATCACACCTTACAAAGGCAGAGAGCAGGTGGAGTTGGGGTATGTGGCTTTGCAGAGAGCCACCTTCCCACAGCAAGACGTGTGGTGGTGAATGGTGTCTTCTCTGAAGTCCAGGCTGTCTGAATTAACATTTGGACTGTACTACTCCCCCCTGTGTAATGTGGGCAAGCTGCTTAGCCTCTTTGAGCTTCAGGGCCCTAATCTGTAACGATGCTCATAAATGGTATGAGCACTGCACTGCCTTTGTTAGGATTAAATGAGATAATCTGCAGAAAGAGCTCACATTGAACCTAGCTCTCCTGGTTCACTCAATACTTTTAGGAGTTGTCAGACCTTGCCAAAAGAGGACATACTCTCTGTTGAGCAATCTGAAGAACTAATAATAGAGATGTTAATTATGAGTATTAATGGAGTAAGGGTTACTCAAGGAAATCAGTGGCCAAATGTGTGGAAGGATGCTGAGGGAGAAAAGTCTTACAGTACAGCTCTATCTTACCTCATCAGTGGTTCGAAATATGCCTCCTTGTAATTTGTCTCAAGTCATTTCCTGGGCGGGAACTCGTTGATCTCACCTGCTGACTTCAGGAGGGCAGAGGACATTGCTAACATAAAAATGGGGACATTCAGTTCCACTGGTGTCTTCTCATTCTCGGCCACACCATTTCCTGGTCGTTTTTTCTACAGGACAATTTATGTTTGCTCATTTTCCAAAACTCCCTACTGACTTATTGATAATGTCCCAAGTCCCTGGCTTGATGTTCAAGATTCTCTAAAACCTGGCTTCCAGAATTTTACCAAACATCCACCTATCCTTTCACAGGATATTACAATCCAGCCAAAAATAACTGTTTGAAGTCTTCTCAATTACTTCTCAGTTCCCCACTCCAGACCTATGCTCATGTCCTCTCCTCTTCCTGTGTGGAAACACTCTTAAAACTCCAGCTCTTATGTCAATTCTCAAACAAAGCATTCCTTGCGCATGCCAGCAGGGTGGTCATCTTTTATCTTATAATCTCTTGCCCAATATTTTGTACAGCACCTTTCAAATGTTTAGCTGGAATCACAGTAAGGAATATGTTTTGCATGGCACATATTTCACTTAAATTTACACACACATACATGCACCAAAACAAAAGGTTCAAGAAGTTATTTCCAATATCATTCTAATATTGTCTCTTTTCTCTTTCATTTGGCAAAAGCTCTGACTATAATCCACTAAACAGATTTTGTTGTTTTTTAATTAAATTTATTGGGTGACATTGGAAAATAAAATTATATAGGATTCAAGTGTATAATTCTATGATATATCATCCGTATAATGCATTGTGTGCTCACCACTCAAAGTTGAGTGTATGGGGATGGAAGGAGATATGACTTTAAATGCAACAGGTTATGCATTAGTCTTTAAATGCATCATAACCTGCACTTTGGAAAACACTGTTCTACATACAAAAATGTCCTTTATTATTTATTATGTATAAGCATCACATTCCTTACAGGTTTGAAAGCTACTCAAGGGTAATACCATGTGGTACATTATAGAATATTTTACTGTATTGAGTCATGCTTTTCATATTTGTTACTGTTTGTGGAAGAAAAAAGGTAGGAAAGAAAGAAAGGAAGGAAGGGTAAGAGAAAAAGAGAGAGGGAGGGAAGATATAAGAAAATATCTCTAGAGATGTTGATTATACTCAGAAATTAAGATTGTTACTATTTTGGAAGTCAACAGATGGGAATCACTGAAGTTATTTCAAGAAAAAAATTCCAGTCAACGTGCTATGTGCTTCCTTGAATAACTTCGTCAACCTTAATTTAAACTTAGAAATTAGTGTCTCATCATGGATTACAGGAGAAAAAGAAAGATAGTGAGAACAAATAGACTAAGAGAGAAGATAACCTCATTTATGCTATGTTCCTTCTCCCTGATGAATATTGTGGGAAGGAGAGGGGTGACACCAAAGGTGTGAAGTATATCTCCAGAGGTGAAAAAAGCTTTTGACTTGATTTCCATAAGCCTGTGAAAAAGCAGTTCTGTCATTTTGGTATGTGCTGAACACAACTAGTATATACTGAATACATCAAGCAATTTCTGTGTACTGGCTGTCAACAAAGTTGGTGCTAAGTGCTAACATTGCCAAGCGCTCAAAAATATAAAGCAGCGATTTCCAACGGATGTGCCACAAGAATTTTTAACACATGCAACACCTGACTAGTAAGTCAGGGGCACTGACCACTTTTCCCTTAGATTGTCAAATGAAAAAAACAACAACAGCCAACACAATAGCCATCAAGGTGAATGAATCAAAATCACACCTACTATTTTTGTCAAATTGGCAAAAAATTCTATAATATATTTTTGATGAGCCGCAAAATTTTAGTAATTATTTATCTGTGCCATGAGATGAAAAAGGTTGAAAATCACTGCTATAAAGTGAAATAGGAAATACACCCTATGTCATGGCATCTGAAATATTACTTTTTACTGACATGAAAGATTATTAGTATTTTCCAGATTCAAAAGAGGAAATATTTTAAAGTTAAGTTTATTTTTATTCATTATAACTGAAGAAGTTAGCACATTATATTTTAATGTAATAAAAGTTATAATTGATGAGTTTATGTATACATTTTAAAGGATTAAAACAATTATTTTAGTACAGCGAAAAATAACCTTTGAACTTTACTGTTTTTGAAATGTAAAAGGCATAATTATAATACATAGGCTACATATCTTATTTTTTAATATTTTAATTAAAAAACTTTTTAAATTACGGTTGCCATTCAATATTTAAAAGAGGAAAATTTGGGATGAAATTTAAATTTGAAAACTTATACTAGTGACATACATTTACTGAAATGACATAGCAGTGGGATTTGAATATAAGTCTTTGTTATTCAAAATTCATCTTCTTAACTAAATGCTATACTCTATACTCCATTGACTATACATACAAAGTAACAACATAAAAATAATGCCTTCTATGGACATGAATACTTTTTCCAAGTATGTAGACATTTGTTTGTTGCTTTTTGATCTTCAACCCAACACTGAGTGCACAGAGGCAAGAATAGCAATCTAGAGGATCAAAAAGCTTATATAAATGCGAATAAATTATAATAATATTACATGAAACAAATATTTTATAAATCATGCAGAATTAACTGCTACATCATTTTGAAAGATTATTATTTAATGGGACTTCTAAGAATTATTATTAAAATATTGAGTTTTTATTGCCAAAGAATGAATTATTAACAGTAAATATGTAATATAGATCACAATTGCCTTCATGTCTGTGCCCTTGGTTGTCATAATTTAGAGAAGTAAAACATTTGAAAATGCAGATTTATAGTAACTCAATGGCCAACAATTTAGGCATGTTGCAAAATTGAAAATATTAGTAAAATATCCACTCCCCAGAGAGTGTCTAATTATTTCATCTGACATTAGTTTAATTGATTTGAAATATTGTTAAATTTTAAATGTACACATATATTCCTCACTAGTTTTGTCAGATACTATTTTGTTTCAGACCCACGGACTGCTTATGCCAGCCATCTTGAAAATTCACGCCATTGGTGAGAAGCAGATGGGATTGTGAATGAATACTACTCAGGGCTGACTTAATAACAATTAGAAACTTAATTTCAAATTCATACCCTACTGGCTGTGTTAGCAACATATACATAGAGTTCATTTTATTTAAATATAATAGTCTGTTGATTGGCAAAATAAATGTAAATTTTAATGCAACCACTTTGACACAATTTACTTTTTTTTCAGATGCAACCACTCCTCCATTAAAATCATCAACAATTTCTGCAGCAAAAACATCTGAACCAACACCAGTCACAACGACATCACTAAATCTTGTTACACAATCAACAGTTGGAACATCTCCCAAAGGTAAGATAAATACTTAGAGTGAAATATACTCTAACTTTAACAAATAAAATTAGTAGCACCTTTGTAATTTAATCACAGGAAAATAATTTAAGACCTTGTACCTGTTGATATGAAGTTCTGTGCTAGTTTACTATTTATAAACTCATGTTATTTTGGACTGAATACAGAACCCTGCAATCTCGGTGGTATTCTTTGACAATGTCCCCTTAGATCACTTTCTGTTTGAGACCTATCCTACTGTGAAAGTTAAATACACAAAGTTTATTTTTAAAAAAGAATGAAATTATCACTTCCTAAATCATAAAAATATCTTTCTAAATATTGCAGTTCTCCACTTAAACAGCAGAGTTGACTATATTAATAACAAGCTGATTTTGTTAGTTATATTGGGCTGATAAAAGCTTTAATTTGCAGGTGTCAGTAGCAATGTCAACATTATTGTGTTTTAGGCTCTAAGTATAAAGGGGATTACCTTATCATCAATGAAAAGTAAAAGGAGACATTATGATCATTGAATTTAAAACTCAAGAGGTTATCAGTCCAATGAATACTGCATTTTCTATCCTGCAACACACATAAAATGAGGCAGATCATTCAGGTCCAATAATCAATGGAGCGAGAAAAAAAATTATTTGTTGACTGCCTGTGGGCAGAAAACCTGGCAGAATGCTAAATTCACAGAGATACCTGAAAATCATACATCCAGATGAATGGATGACTAAAATTCCCTCAGCTACCTTTCTTATCCCTCTATTCTTTATTCACCGTTCAGTCTAATGCCAAGCTTAAACACAAGCTTAAACACATGAGGACCAATGAGGGGTGGTTCACTGGGCCTGAATGGTTTGGGGATTCTCAGAGTAAAATGGTATTATAAATACACTCCACTAGAGGCCCGATGCATGAAATTCATGCAAGAGTGGGCCTTCGGGCGGCTGCCTGGATCCCTCCCTCGCAACCATGGTGGCTGCAGTCCCGGCTTAGTCCGGAAGGATATCCAGTCTAATTAGCATATTACACTTTTATTATTATAGATTATCTCTGAAATGTTTAATTTTAAGGTAAAACCTTAAACTCCTAGAACTTCTCTACCAAACCAGGAGAAAGTATACAATGAGGGCATCTCCCTATCTCTATCTCTATCTATCTCTTTCAGTTTTTCTAACTGACACCTTGGTATAAATAAGTACTGACTTGACATGCAGACCCAAAAGGTTGAACTTTCACAGTTTTTGTGTTAACTACTTGGAATTTACGTTTTTTCAATAGGAAGATTCCTAACCCTGCCCACAATAATCTGTGGTGAATAACACTGTCCAAATAATAACACAAATCCTAACCACTATGTAAATGACCATGAAAAGGCAGAGGTGGAGGTGAGTTCAGTGAAGGAATTCAGACTGAACTGTCATTTGTGATACCAGGAATGCATCTCACGTTTTTGATTGGAATGGAAACTCTATATCTACTCATGTAAAGCATAACTGAGAGACATGTTTAGTGACTTTACAGTTGGGAGCTCCTGTAAAGGGACAGTGAAGCCCCCTTCTCTGAAGCAAATGCATAGAACACTGTGATTTATGTACACACACACACACACAAACACACACACATACACACACACACTCCTCCTCATTCCTTTCCATGGCACATTTACTGCTTCATAGTACCCAGTTAACAAACGTTAAATTCTAGTCGGTTCTTCAGAAGGGCTTTAAATTATTGAAATTGTATTGTAAAAATTGTAATAAGCTAGAGAAGCTTTTGTTTTTGTTGTTTTTATTATAAAAATGTTCAGATGAACTCAAAAGTAGAGTACTGTAAATAATATCGATATGCCCATCTCCCAGTCAATAATTATCAAGATTTTAACAAATTTCTTCACTTTTTTCTCCTTCCTTCTTCCTTCCCTCCTTTTTCCCCTCCCTCTCTCCTTCCTTCTTTCTTTTTCTTTCTCTTCTCTCTTTTTTTGTTTTATTTTGTTGTAAAGTATTTGGAAGGGAATCCAGACTTTATGTCATTTTACCTCTACAAACTAAATGTGCATCTCAAAAAATATGGACAATTACCCTGGCCAGGTGGCTCAGTTCGTTGGAGCTTAATCTTTATACAAAATTGTCGTGGATTCAATCCCTGGTCAGGGCACATATGGGAAGCAACCAACCAATGTTTCTCTCTCACATTGATATTTTTCTCCCTTCCTCTCTCTAAAATCAATAAAAACATATCCTCGAGTGAGGATGTGTGTGTGTGTGTGTGTGTTTGTGTGTGCAATTTATTTTAAAGCTACAATGTCATTATAAAATCCCTCAAATTAAGAATTTCTTAGAATCATATAATATTTGTTTGGAGGGGTTTTAAGGGTTTTAGTAACCATTACTATAGCAGTGAAGAGGGATTAGGGGAAGGAAAGAGTCTATTCTGGGATCTCTCAGGAAGGCAGCTGAGAGAGTGACGGTGGAAGGCAGCTGAAGAAGGAAAGGCAGGCTCTGATGGGCACAATCTGCTCCGATGCAGTATGAGAAACGGAAAGTCTGGCTTGTTGGTCGGGATGTGTGGGGCCATCAGGCAGCTGGGGGGCCATGATGCCTAAAGGAAAATGAGTGGAGAAGGAAGACAGAGAAAGGAAAGGAGAGAGAAACATCTATTTTTATTTATTTTTATTTTTTTAGAGAGGGAGAGAGGAATGGTGAGAGAGAGAAACAGACATGCATGCATTCATTGGTTGATTCTTGTATGTGTCCTGATCAGGGATGGAACCCACAACCTGGTGTATTGGGACAAGGCTCTAACCAAGGGAGCTACCCAGATGGACTTAGACATTTTCTTAACTTCAAACCTGTGAGGGGATTTACATATTAGGGAGTTTTATACAGTGTCTCATCCTCCAAAATAACTGTCTTTAGATTATACAGTAATATCGCAAGAGGTATATCTATAGTGAAGTGATTCCATATTCCCTCTTCCTCATGGCTAACATGGTAATTTTATCCACAATAAAAGTGTTTAACAAAAAATAAGCAAGAAGCATGCCATTGAGGAGTTTCTTTATTTCCATTGTAAGGCTTCCCAATCAGATTTTTTGTTTAGAGATCAAAGACACTTGATTTAATAGTGCTCAGGTGTATTCTAAAGCGTGTACATTTTATTTCTCCAGAAAATGGCAGAAATGTTATCAGAAAAATGGAAAATGTGCAACAAGGGCATTCTTACAGCAATGGCAGAGGTGATGGATGGAGCTTGGCCTGGAGCAGAGCTTGCTCTCAGAGATCTACCCCATTAGAGAGCGAGGATTTGCTCTCTTCCTAGATGTATATCAAGTGCACCACCCTTTTGTTCAAAGGCCAATGGCCAGAGTTAAAAATCAACATTTGGCAGACACTGAAAATCATTATTATAAAATGAACTTCTAGGATACAAAAATAAACCTGAAATTTCATTCTAAAAATATAATTATTTTCCAGCTTGATTTTTGAAACATTTAATAGTCAATTTTTTAATGAGCTGAATTATAATGAAGAAATAAAAATTTCTCAGCCCTGATACTGAACATTTTTTATGCTAAGTGGACGTTCAATTTCAACTGAGGTCATTAGAGGAGCCAGATACTTTGGCCATCTCTTCCATATGGAGCACCAGCTGTGGTGATGCTTAAGATGTACTCCCTTTCTAGAAATCGACTAACATGCATCTATAAAGAACAGACTTTTAGAAGGCATCTTTGTAATTTTTTTTGTATTATTAGTGGGAAGAAAATGGGTTTGGGTTCCTCTTTTTCCATATTTTTTTCTTTTATCCATTCTCTTTATATTCCTTAAGTTTGAACTGAATATGAATCACCTGAGATAGCTTTATACATGATCTCTTAGATTTTCCTTCTTACAGAATTCCTAAGTGGTAAAGTTGACATTTTGCTTTTAGTTTATTTTCACAAAATATGAAATGTTTACAAGTTGACATTTTCTGGAAACCCTTGTGTCCTGTGAATGGAATTAAATACAGTTCTAAAAGGTTATTTTGGAAAGTGTTATAAATGATAGTTTACTAAATAATTTTACAAAGAATAGAACTCTTCTATGATTTAATCTTTTATAAACATCTGTTGACTCAAAATTATATTATATCCCTAAAGATATATAGCTATAATACCCTCTTAATGTTCACATTAAATTCAGTCTATTTCTTTTATTGACCACTTTAAAGTACTTAATCATTGTTTTGCACATAAAATTAACAGAAATAACAATTCTCATTAGTACTTACATTTTTAAAATTTATCTTTATTGTTGAAAGTATTACAGATGTCCCCTTTTCTCCCTCATTGACCCCTTCCATCCCATCCTCAACCCACTCCCACTATTGTCTGTGTCCTTGGGTTATGAATATATGCATATAAGTTTTTGGTTAATCTCTTCCGTCCAACCCACCTACCTTAATTTTGCAATCAAAAGATGCACTTATACTTCAGAATGTTAACATGTTTAGCACATAGAACTGTACTATAAGTTATATGTAGAATTCTTATCTACATTTGAAAGGGAATTCTTATACATTAACAACAAATCTAAAATAAATTATATACTGTTTATGTTATAGATATTTTATGCTGATAAAATAGGTTGATTATCAGCATGATCATAAGATCACTGTTCAGAAATGTACATCCATTTGGCTCTTCAGTTTTCCAAAGACCAAGACTGAAAATGAACCCAAATATAAGATTTGGGTTAAATACTTTGGCCAAATTCAACTTTGTTACATCTCTCTTCTCTCTAACAAACATGAATTCAAGATATGTATTTAAAAAAATGGGTCAAGGGATTCAGAAACTCAAAGATTATATAAATTTGGCATTTTCTCTATTTATATTATCACTAGGGGCCCAGTCCATGAATTTGTGCACCTTGAAAGGAACTGTGGGCTGCGAGGCTGTGGTGAGCACAGGGGTGGGTCTTACCCCATCCTCCGGGCCCCCGCCCAGCCCCTTCCACCGAGGTCCCTGCTTCCCTCTCTGCCGGCAGCCCTGCTCGCACATGCTGATGGCACAGATTGGGGCAGGTGCCAGCAGCAGGTGCGAGCAGCGGCTGCTGCCCCGATCGCCCCTCAGGAGCAGGGGGAGGTGAAGAAGCCCTGGGGGGCTATCAGGGCTGGCAGCTGCTGCTCATACCTGCTGACCGGGGCCAGTGCTGGGCACCAGCAGCAGGTGCAAGCAATGGCTCCAGTGCTGGCAGCAGGTGCAAGCGGGGCCAGCGGCAGTAGCAGGTGCGAGCACCGGGCAGAACTGCAGTGAGCGGGAGCAAAGAATTTTCAGTAATCACCAGAGACTTGCCCCTGTGAAAGCAACCAGTGCCCCTGCTCCACTATCCTACCACAGCCAACACCCGCCATGTTCCGTGCATGCCCCTTGGTGGTCAGCGCACATAATAGCAACCGGTTTTTCCATTGTTCGGTTGTTCCATCATTCGGTCTATTTTCCTATTAGGGTTTTATGTATATAGACTAGAGGCCCAGTGCACGAAATCGTGATGGGTGGGGTCTGGCTGGCCGGCCCTGATGGGGGCCCATTGGGCTGGGCCGGTGGGGAGGGCGGAGGGGCCACAGGCAGTTGGCCAGCTGGCTCACCCCCGATCAGGGTGTTGGGGGTCGATTGGGGGCCAGGCTGGCTGGGGGCAGGGTACAATCAGGGCCCGGATCAGGTTGGTTGGCTGCCACAGTACACATCATAGCCACTGGTCATTCTGATCGTTCCGCCGTTCTGGTCACTGGGCTTTTAGATAGATAGATAGATAGATAGATAGATAGATAGATAGATAGATAGATAATAAATAGATAGATAAATAGATTATATGTGTCCTGATTATTTCCTGTAATTATCTCTTGAATTTTCAAGCAATATACAAGCCATATGCCAGTAAAACATAATGGCAAGGTGATTATAAAAATTCAATTCAGCCTGTTATTGGTACCAAGAATCTAAAGAGTAGGGATGAAGTGAAAACAAAGGCACCATGTCTGCCTAGAGGGGACACTTTATTTATATCATTACTTTCTTTACAATGTTAGCATCATGTGAGTGGGCAATGTACCATCTCAAACCTAGCTTTTAAGAATAATGTTTTGTTCATTGGTGTCTTCTTTTAAAATATAACCACATATGAGCGAAAAAAACCTTTTAGAAAGTCTTACGTACCTCGGTGCACTCCACATTTTAATTCACAAATGCTGCCTATTACAGCCACTGTCCATTGCTGTAATAACCTATTTCCCTTAATTAGCAGTGAGGGACAGAGGAGTGAGCAGTAGACAAAAATCTCCACCATCTTAGAGGTGTTTGTCCTCAGTAGTTCTCCAAAGGTCTTATCTTCTTCTTGTGGTTTCTAAGTATCTTTAAAAAAATTTATTTTGTTTTATTTTATTTTATTTTTCCCATCACCATTTATCCCCTTATGCCCTCTTCCACCTCAACCCAAATTATATAGCACCCAAAATTATAAAGCTCCAGCCAGCTTACCCTTGAAAGCCTTCTCTGGAGTAGGGTTTTAAAGCATTAGATAAACTTTACAGAGGCAAACAGTTCCTCCTCCAATACAGCATGCATATACTATATAAGAACCAAGTTTTATATATGTCACATAGTAAAAATGGGACCTGTGCCCTAATCACAAAAGGATGTTCTAATGTGTTTTACAAAAGAAGGAAATGCTGATTATTTCGGCTATCTAACGGGTTAGTCATGCTCACTAAAGGCAGAGCTTGTCCCTTTGTTGGCCCCCTGTCCTGTATGAGTGCCACCTTATCTGCAACAACATTTACTACATGCAGGTTATATGCCAGGAATTACTCTTGATACCACTCAGATTAAAAAGATGACCGAGAATCAGATGCTGCCCTTCAGAGTGGAAGAGTGGGCCTTGTACTGAGTGGGCACTCAATGAATGTTTCATAAATGAACAAATTAATTAATTATAGGAGTCTGCAAGTTTCTAAGTTATGTTTATTTGGAAGTCTGAATGTCATAACCAAATTAACAAAATAACATGTGATTCTGAGAAAAATAAAGACATGTTACTCCTACATGCTATTGACCAGGTCATTGCATCTCCGTTGGGAAAAATAAAATGATTTCAAATCATTTGCTTTCACAATAATATTTTTGTACGTTTAAAGATCCCCAAGTAGCAAACTGTAGTAAAAATTTGTTTTGTTGGTCTTTCACACACACAAAAAATGTGTGTGTGAACACACATATGTGTGTATGTGTGTGGGGTAGCTTGAACAAAAGAAGCTGGAAAATGAACAAATTAAAGATAGGCAAAGGCTTACCCAGTACCTTAGAGAGGGATTACAGTCCACCTCCAGATTTGACTTATTTTTATTTATTCCTTGGCAGATGAGATGAAATTGTGATTAATAATAATGTCATCTATCTTATCAAACTAGGAACAACCAACAAGGAATCCTTACAAACATCTCTGCTGTCAACACTTCCTTCATTAATCATGACAGTTAAAGGTGAAGGTGAGTAATAATATTTTTATTTTCTCTATATAATTTGCATACCATAATATCATAAACCATACTGCATACCCTTTTAAAGTACACAGTTCAATGGTTTTTTAGTATATTTATGAGATTGTTTTACCATCACCACTACCTGATTACAGAATATTTTCATCACCTCAAGAAAAAACCCTGTATCTGTTACTAATCACTTTCTATTCCCATTTTCCCCCAGCCCTTGGCAACCACAAACCCACATTGTGTCTCTGGAGATTTGCCTATTCTAGAAATTCCATATAAGTATAATCATGTGACCTATGACCTTTTGTGTCTGAATTCTTTCACTTAGGATAATGCTCTGAGGTTTATCTATGCTGTAGTATGTTTCTATAGCTCATTCTTTTCCATGACTGAATAATATTTCATTAGATGGATCACTATATTTGTTGACCTATTTATTAGTTGATGGAAATTTGAACTGTTTCTGCATTTTGGCTATTATAAATAATGCTGCTAAGAACATACATGAACAAGTTTTTGTGTGAGCACATGTTTTCATTTCTCTTGGGTATATACCTTGAAGGACTATGTCACATGGTAATTCTATGTTTAACTCTTTGAAGAACTGATTTCCAAAACACCTGCACTATATTACATTCCCACCAGAAATGTATGAGGATATGAATTTTCCATTTTCTAACCAATACTCTATATTTTCATCATAGTCATTCCAGAGGGTGTTAAGTGATATCTCATTGTCATTTTGATTTATGTTTTCCTAATGACTAATGACATTGAGCATCTTTTCATGTACCTGTTGGCCATTGTGTATCTTCTTAGGAGAAATGTCTATTTAAGTCCTTGCCCATTTTTTAATTGAGCTATGTGACTTTTTACTGTTTAGTTGTAAGAATGTTTTATATATTTTGAACTCGATCATTAGTGAGTAGATAATTTGCAAATACTTTCTCCCATTCTGCGGGTTGTCTTTGCGTTTTCTTGAGCTGTCCTTTGAAGGACTAACATCTCTAATTTTGATGAAGTTAAATGTGGCTATATTTTCTTTTGTCATGTAGAGGAAGCAAAACTTTACCCATCATAGGTTTTTAGCTGGGACCTTTAACAGCAAGACATACAAACAAAAGAAAAATAGTTTATTAACACATGCAGCGTACATCATGTGAGAAACCTAAAACAAAGAGTATCTCAAAGCAGTGACTTAGAATTCAGCTTATATACCATCTTCAACAACAACAACAACAACAAAACAATGCATTTGTTAAAAAAAGAAATGACAGGACAGTGACAGGACAAAGGAAGACGTAAGCCTCCCAAGGGTAGCAAACTGAGGGAAGATTAATAGATAAATATATGAAAGGAAACTAATGGGCAAGTTTTGTTTGCAAATTCCTCTGGCCTGATAAAAGTCTGTCTCCAGTAAAAAGAAATTTATATCCTGCCTTTAGGCAAAAAAGGGGAAGCTTTTTTTTTTTTGCATTTGCTGCTTCTTAATTGCCTTCAGCTTTAAATTTTTATGTCAAAGAGACATATTTTGGGGTGACGCTCTAGTTTTTTTAGTCACTGTGCAGTAGGACCAAATGTAAGAAACCATTGCTCAACTCAAGTCACAAGATTTACACCAATGTATTCTTCTAAGGATATTATAGTTTTAGCTTTTACATTTAAGGCTGGTTTTGTGTATGGTATAGGGTAGACATCTGGCTTCCTTCTTTTGCATGTGATTATTCAGTTGTCCTAACATCATCTATTGAAAAGACAATTCTTTCTTGATTTGAATCGTCTTGGCACTCTTGATGAAAATCAATTGGCTATAAATGCATGGGTAATTTTCTGGACTCTCAAATCTACTCCATTTATCTATATGTCTACCCTTATCCAGAATCATCACTGTAGATTACTATAGCTTTGCATTAACTTTTGAAATCAGGAAATGTGAGTGCTCCAACAGTTTTCTTCTTTTTCAAGATTGCTTTGACTATTTTGAGTCACTTGAATTTTCATATAAATTTTAGGATAAATTTGTCAATTTCTGCAAGAAGTCAGTTGACATTGTGATAAGGATTGCATTGACTCTGTTTGGAAAAAGTCAGTTTGTGAAGTATTACCATTTTAACAGTTTTAATTCTTCCAATCCATGAATGTGAGATGACTTTCCATTTATTTAGGCCTTTTTGTTTCTTTTGATAATGTTTATAGTTTTCAGTGTAGAAGATTGCTCTTGTTCAATTTATTCCTAATGTTTTATTCATTGTGATGCTGTTAGAAATGGAATCATTTTTAAAATTTTATTGTTCAATGCTACTATATAGAAATAAAATTTATTTTCAAATATTAATATTGTATCCTGCCTCCTTATTGAGCTAATTTATTGGTTCTAATATGTGTGTGTGTGTGTGTGTGTGTGTGTGTGTTCCTTAGGATTTGCTATATCCAAGATTCATCTGCAAATAGAGATATTTTACTTCTTCACCCAGTGATTCCATTTATTTTCTACTCTGAATGCCTTTTATTTTATTTTCTTGCTCATGTGCCCTGGCTAGAACCTTCAATACAACATTGAATTGAAGTGGTGAGAGGGGATATTAAGAAAGTCCTCTTTTATTACTAGTACTAGTGGCCCAGTGCATGAAATTCGTGCACGGGGCGGGGGGGGGGGGGGGGGGTCAGACAAACTACAACCTCTCT